AACACATCTAAACGCGAGCCACACTAATATATTAAAGCACTTCCAGGTGTTTCGCAAGGACCGGTTACAAGCCATTCATTCATCTGGAGGCGTTGCGGTTGTAGTGCAACGCTCAACCCCATGTAGCAAAGTGACTCTGCAGACTTCGCTGGAGGCTGTGGCAGCCCGCATTTTGTTAGATCGTTTAATTACAGTTTGTTCCTTATATATACCCCCCAGTTATCAGCTAAAGATTGAAGAGCTTGAAGACTTTGTTAGTCAGCTCCCACCACTTTTTCTGCTTTTGGGAGATTTTAATGCACACAATCCTTTGTGGGGGGTGGCAGAAGAGATCCCAGAGGGGCTCTCATTGAACGCTTTCTTCTTTCCTCGGGATTGTGCCTAGTTAACACAAATGAAGCCACATATTTTAGTTCAACAACTCACACTTTCACTTCCATTGACCTATCTATTTGTCACCCATCATTATTCCCATTGTTTTCATGGAAGGTCATCCCGAATCCTCACGGAAGTGACCACTTTCCCATCATTTTAGAATTTAACCATCTTCCCATGACAGTCCCTACGCGCTCTCCTCGATGGAAATTTGAAAACGCCGACTGGTCAACTTTCAAAGAATCGTCTCTTTTGGCATGCACATCACTTGACAATCTCGATATCGATAGAGCCACTGAACATATCACTCACATTTTACAGGCTGCCATTCTTTCCATCCCCATGACGTCCTCGCATCTACCCAGGAGACCTAAGCCCTGGTGGAACAAAGATTACCGTTTGGCCAAAAAAGAACAAAATCGAGCTTGGGGTATTTTTAGGCGCTACCCTACAGCACACAATCTTATTGAATTTAAAAGACAAAGGGCCCAGGCAAGGTGGATTCGAAGACAAGCAAAGAAAAAAAGTTTTAGAGGGTACGCTTCCTCAATTAACAGCACTATACCTGCGAAGGAAGTCTGGGATCGCGTACATAAAATTGACGGCTCTTACCGGGCATTCACTGTCCCACTCCTGAGTCGAAATGGAGTGGGTCCTGCAAGTCTTGAGGAAGAGGCCAACATCCTTGGCGAGCATTTCGAGTATGTCTCCAGTTCCCAACATTATACTCAGACGTTTCAGCGACACAAGATAAATGCAGAAAAAAAAGCTGTTAACACATCAGGTGGCACGCACGAACCCTATAATACTCTATTTACATTATATGAACTTCAAATGGCACTTCTTTGTCCCAAACACACTGCCCCTGGACCAGATGGTATTCATTATAAAATGCTTGAACATCTTCATCCATCCACTATGGAGCTAATTTTGTACCTTTTTAATAGAGTTTGGCTCGAGGGCCGCTTTCCATCCTCTTGGAAGATTGCTATCGTTGTACCAGTGCTGAAGCCCGGAAAAGATCCTTCTTGTGCATCTAGCTTCAGACCAATAGCTCTAACTAGCTGTCTTTCCAAGACACTAGAAAGAATGATTAACAAGAGACTGATGTTTTTCCTAGAACGAAACAACTGCCTTGACAAGTTCCAGTGTGGCTTTCGTTCAGCACGGTCCACTGTCAATCATCTCGTCCGCTTTGAGACCTTCGTACGTGAGGCGTTTGTCAACAGGCAACAGTGCCTCTCCATCTTCTTTGATTTGGAGAAGGCATACGACACAATCTGGCGTTACGGCATACTGCAGGATTTGTTCGATCTTGGTTTCCGTGGCCGACTCTTTAAGCTCTCTGAAGGCTGTCGCATCAATGAACCGTGTAAAAAACCCACTGGTTTCTGAGTTAAAGCACAAGATTATCCTGGCTGCTAAGAAAAGTCTTGACATAGTCTTATGCTGGGTTCCTAGCCATGTTGGCATTCCTGGAAATGAAGCAGCTGATTGTGCAGCTAGCTCTGCTAATGATCGAGAAATTGACACACACCAAATACCCTACAAAGATTACCACAACTCTCTGAAATGTTGCATCAAAGCAAAGTGGCAGCTGCAGTGGAACAGCGAAACCAGCAACAAACTGAACGCAATCAAACTTTTTCTAGGCGAGTGGGAGAGTGCCCGACATCGGGAGCGCTTTTATGAAGTCATACTCTGTAGGTTACGAATCGGTCATACTCGTCTCACACATGGACACCTCTTGAGCGGGGAGGATGCCCCTGAATGTGTGCACTGTAACCTACCTCTAAGTATTATGCACATACTCATTGAATGCCCTAAGTATGACCAATGCAGGTATGAACACTTCTCACTGCTTTATAAAGAACACATTCCACTACACCTCGCCCTACAACTAGGTGACGAACCGCTCATTTCATACAGTTGTGTTCTTAATTTCCTCACTGATATCGGCCTTCTACACCGACTGTGATTTTACTTTCTATCCTAAATTCATTGTCATATTGTTTACACTTATAAACATTCATGTTCATGGTTTTATCATATATTTCGCTACTATAGCTCTTTCCTCTTCTTAAACCCGAATTGCAATAGTCTAAGCTTGGCGCAGTATAGCCTTAGTTGCTGATGCGCCATAAACCCCCAATCAATCAATCAATCCTCACGTGACTGACTTCGGCGAATAGCGGCGTCGCGCGTTCGAGGTGCTCAGACCTTATCTTATTCACGATAGGGAGCCTTGATGTGCGCTTTGCTAGGGTGATGCCACCCTTTGTAATACCACTCGCCGACAAACCAGCAGCCGTTTTGGTCGTCGGCGATAATCCGTGGGGCTTATAACCCACCCGGAAACAAGCACCTTATCTCACAAGTTCGGAGCAGCGTTGTGGAACCCACGGAGGGAGGATTACCATTTCCCCCCTCGGATGGGAGGACCGATGGACACAAAGGCCACTTTCCGACGCACGGGGAAACAATGAGGAACTAAATGGCGGTGGACGAGGGTGTGAGAAAGGGAAACAGGCAGTTGGCATGCCCTACGCGAAGCGCACATGAAGGCACCCTCAAATAACGTTATACACACAGAAGCAGGGGAACGTACGGCGGGGCGCGTGCAACGTCTACTTTGCTGCACGGCACTTGATCCGGCTCCTCACGTGATCGGATCTCTGCGCGGCGCAGCGGCACGTGGAAAACAGGCGCGCAACTCTGGCTCCCGTATGGAGCCAGAGTTGCGCGCCTCTAGTTCGCCGTACTTCGCCGTAGGGTTCCTACATGTCTGAGGGTGAAGACATCCATTGTTGCCCTGAATCTGCCAGCGCGTGACTATAGCGTGACGCTCTCACGCACTCGGTGCGTGACTTGGGCGGTAAAATGGCATCTATGCATTAGCCAAAGCTACGCGCTCTAAATGAGTGACACCAAATTGCGCGCGCTTCAAAATGCATTAAAATGAAACGATTGGGCGGGAAAACGGCTGAAATGTCACCACTCAGGCAAAAGCGCGCGTGTGTATGAACGGGTACTCTAGTTCGCCGCCACACCCATGGCCCATGGGTTTTCGGACCGTGAACCGAAAACCGGAAAAAAAAAAACGTTATTTTCGCTCGAACCGGAATTGAACCGGAACGAAATAATCTTTTTCGCTCCTGAGCGGAACCGATATGTTTTCCTTGCGGTTTTCGGTTCATACGCCAAGTCAGGTGGCGTGAAAAGTACGTGGCGAAAAACACAGTAACCTTAAAAATAAACCGAAAATGTAAAAAAAAAAAAAATACTTATTTTCGCGCAAATTGGAGAAAGCCGTGCGCTTGTGAACAGACTACGTGTCCAGTGGGTTATGTTCCTGATCAGGAAGCTAGGATTGAGGAAACCAATGCTTAATAGTCCAACGCGGTGGATGTCCAAGCTGCATATATGCTCGCTCACCAGGCTACTTGAACTAAAGGCTTCGCTGGAGGGTTGCTCTCAAAAGAAGAAGGCTCCAGGTCGACTGAAGACCTGTGGGCGGAAGTCGAAATGCTCGCAGTATCGCTTCGCCCCGCAGGAGTGGCGACGAAGCCATTGCAGAAGGGACAGCTCACTGTAGGAGATCTCAACGGCGCATGGCTGCGATATTCCATGGACACTTCCAAGATATCGTCTCCGTTAAAAAATGCCTTGATCCAGTCAATGAAAAAGAGGAAGCGACAAATTCTTGACACGGATGTCTTCTGTGCAGCTGTGTACATGGATCCCCACTACCGCCTTCCTCTCAGCCCTGAGCAAAAGTACCGGGCCACGTTGCATTTGACAAAGACTTGCAGGCGGATCACAGCTCTGCAATGCGAGAAAGATTCTACATTGCCTTCTGAAACTGCGGCGGCTCCAGAAGATCTGGAAGACGCCCTGGAACCGCTCCTCGAGGAAAAAGAGGTTGAGGCTAGCGTGCACGTTCGAGGTACCAGTAGCCCACTTTTTATAGCATGCCTTCTGGAAATGCTAAAGAAAAAGCCGCGGCCTTCAAAGGAGGCTAACGTGATGCAGTTTTGGGAGGAGAGACGGGAGTGCCATCCAGAACTCTGCGCATTGGCTCAAGTAGCCCCGGGAGTGCCTGCGACCCAGGTCAGCGTGGAGCGAGCCTTTTCTGCACTGAAGTTAATTTCATCATCTCAGAGGTGCCGTCTTTTCCCGCATATGCTTGACGACGTCCTGCCTCTTCGGTCAGCTGCCTGACATTAAACTGCACTTTCACCCAGGTCCCGAGGTGCGCCAGCATTAGCTCATTCGTTCCACACAGTAATGTGAGACTTTGCTTTTTATATGCAACACTTTTATAAAATATGCATAATTTATCTTTTGCTGTCGTCAATTGTTTTTGTAGCATATGAGTACGAACCGGTTCGAACCGGTTTAAACCTTTATTTTTTTCACTCCGGAGGTGAACCGGAGCTGAACCGTTTTTCCTGAACCGGAACGAAAACCGGAACGAAAAACATTTCGGTTCGACACCCTGCGGATGAGTTTCCCCATCGGCTAACAATGGCCGCCGAAACCACACAATGCCCGCCGACGTTTGGACCCGCGATTGAGAGCGCTCTAACCGTACTCGGTGCCTCTCTATCCCTTCTCTCCTCTCTCTCTCCTCCATCCGCATCGCTTTTTCTCTCGGTGGCCGTGAAGAAAGCAAGCATGAAATCTTGCCAGTGTTATGGTGGTCGCAGTCTTCGAGCAGCCCGTAGGCACCCGATGTAGCTCGGCTTTCCAGCCCGATGGCCCGGTGGACGGCTCCATGCGGGCCCGAGGTGGCGACCCTACTCCTCCTGCTCCTGAACCGAGCGCGGGCCGACTTCTCGTACGCGCACGACGCCGAGGAGTACTACACCGCGATCGTGAACATCACCTACGTGAGCCCGGCCACGGGCCTGGTGGTGTCCGAACGCGAAGAACTGGGCAAGTACAGCGCGGGCAAGGTGGGCTCCGTCAGCGGGGTCGTGGTTCACGTGACGAGCAATAACTGGACGGCGCACGACGCCTGCTCGCCGCTGGACACGGCCAACATACCGCAGGAGCCCTGGATAGCCCTAATACAGCACGGCAACTGCGTCGAATCGGTCAAGATGCGACACGCGGTCAATACCAACGCCTCGGGAGCCGTCGTGTACAACAACAATCCGGGCAATAGACTCGTCAAGATGCGTCACAAAGGTGAGTGATCCTCGACGCGCGGCTGGAGGTCCATGGCGCGCGCGCGCTGCGGGAGTCCTTTCTCTCGACTAGACCTGCCCGACGCCGAGCGGCCTCTGAGTCGCTTCTCGAACCCAGTTATAGAGCTTTCCTAAGACTCCGTGTGCGGAGAACTTCGCAAGAACCTACCCGCGAGGCCGAAGGAACAGACCTTGGGTTCAAATGCGACGGGAGTCACCCTCCCAGCGCATCTCTGCATCTCCGACCAAGCCGCATTCTCGTGGATACATAAGACGCTCAATATTTGTTGGTCGAGTTTAGCCCCGTAAAAGTAGGAAAAGGGGTTCGGACAACTGCGAATTCACATAATCGTCACGTTTGTTCATTAGTGTTATGGGTCGATATCTCTCGCGAGCGATCTGAACCTTGAAAGAGAAGCGAAGTTATTTAATGATGATCGTAAACTAAAGAAAGTGAAATGTATTAGTGGTGACATCTGGTAGTGGCATGGCCTGCTGGTCGATTTGAGGGCGAAGTTGGCTAAGGAGATTTCGCGCACGCGGATGTCGCAACTACAGGCTGAAAGAGTTGACGTCAAAGCGCCTGTTCAGCATCTCGTAAAGCCGGGCGGGGATGTCGTTGTCTCCAGCTTCCTTTTGCTGATATCTGCCTAGCTTCCATTTGTATCATTTTGTTTTCTAAGAAAGCACAAAACATTAGAATGGAACCGCACCTTTCTCACACTTAAACGGGATGCTTTGGACGTCAGTTGACGAACGCTCAATTGTTGAGAAGAACAGTGTAGGCTCCTTCGTCTCCGTTCCTATTCAAAATCAAAAACAACCTTTTTTTTTTTTTTTACCAAGTTTATTGTCGTGAAAAAAGAATATGAAGTATTCAGTACCAAAGTGCATGCTGTAAGATCTTCATTGTATGACTACCGAAATGTGAAACGCAAAGGGCATTTCTCTCGGGTGACACTGTTTCCGGTGGGTAGGCCATACACAGTTAGCTTTCACAAGAGAAGACATCCCAGCATATGAACGCTGCCAAGATTGCTTATCTGGTGCACGCTTGTTTCTTGTACGTGTTCATTGTATGAACCCGAGTGACAATCATACCTTTGCGACCTCTTTTAAGAACACTTCTAAATAATCTTCGCACTCCCGCTCAGAGAGTAATTGGCCATGCATCTCACAGGATTTCAGCCTCCAAAGACATACCTGCTTCTTTACACTCAGCCTAGATTTTTCGGCGGATGACAGCTGTCACTGTGTTTCATGCTCAACCTCCGTCTTTTTCTGGTGCCCTCTGCCAAGCGTGAGAAAACCAAAGTCCAGATTCATGTTACTTTTTTGCATCACCGTAACATGGCAAAGAGCAAACACTATGGCCCCGTCGAGACAGTCTGAGCAACGCAGCTGTTCACGCGTCGCCCCTCCGACGGAGGAGAGCTGTCACGTGATGCAGTGAGCCAATAGGCCCCCTCACGCTAGGGCCAAAAGCTTTCGCGGTCCGCCAAGTTACGGTGCAATAGAGTATAGGAGTTGCTTTCTCTCTATCCCTCTCCTATTGCAATGGTTAGTGTTTGGTGCATTAGAGGTATACGTGCTGCGGCAGCATAACATCACGAGGAATGAACAAATCACTATCCCAGATGCCACTGAAGTTGGAAGATGACAGGCAAGCAGATCGATGCTACACCGACGTCCCACTCATTTGCGTTTTTGCCGACCGGTCGAAGAAGTCCCTCGGCCGAGCTAGTGTTTGGCCCGAACCCAAAGCAACCGTTCTGTGCACTTCATGACGTCTGCTTACATTTCCTGTCGACGTTTCCATGAGTGAACACGTTGGTTGCAATCGGACGTTGCTGAAAGGTTAAACACAATGACAGACGAAGTGACACATTCCTTTCTGTGTTTTTACTGCCGGTAAGGTTTAGTTTTTATGGTGTCTGACCGCTTTAGAGTGGCGGGTAGGTCCTCTAATTAACTTGTCTCCAGCTGCACGAGCCTTCAGCGATTAGTTATACTCTGACACTGCACTGCAGGAGTGTGCTCGGCATGGCACTGCTGACGCGAACGGGCAATCTTAAATTTTTTTTCTGTACTAGTGTGACGAAAAATGCACATTTTGGGCACTCCCCTCAGCGGGAATACGTGGGTCCTACCAGTACCCTTTCGAAGTAAAATTGGCAATGTCACATTTGCAGTAAAGGTGCCTTCACACTTGCAAGTCTCAACTGTCGCGCGACAGCTTTTGTTTCAAAAGCGACTGGTTCAGGGCAGTCGCTTCCAGTATGACTTTTGCAACGGTTTGCGGTAGTGGCTGTGGATATGGAGCTGTGGAGGTCTCCTTGGCGGCTCTGGTAACGCTATTAAACAGTACCCATTTTGTTGTAACCAGCAGCACTCCTATTCGAATGAGCGCCCGAAAAAGAACTCGGCCTGGCAGCTAATTCGTGACTTTTGGCTCAATAGGTGTGTACCGTACTGCGGAAGCTCGATTGAGTTTAACACCAATGTTGTGACTGTGCTTTGAATGTACGGTTCCGAAGGACCCCTGCCAATATCTAGATTTGATGAACAGAACAGCGCACACGAAGTCAAGGACAGAGAAAAGGAACATGCAGGAAACACAAGCGCTGACTCGCAACTGAATTTATACACTTTTGTGTATAAATTCAGTTGCGAGTGCTCGCGTGTCCTGCATGTTCCTTTTCTCTGTCCTTGTCTTTGTGTGCGCTGTTCTGTTCATCGTGTCATCATACCAACTCGCCCAACTTACAACACTTCTGCAATATCTAGTCTTTCTATCGCGACGAAAATGACGCACACGTAGCTGTAGGAAAATGGAAAAGCAGCGAAATGCGAACCTGGGTTTTAGCGGTAAGGACGGACTCGACCGTGATTCCCAAGAACTTCCCAGAAGCGACCTGCCAATCGCACCACTGTGTGAACCTCAGTGGTCACTTGTCGCACATCACTAGTGAATCGCGCAACTGTTGCGCATCGCAAGTGCGAAAGCGCCTTAATAACAGTGTTGTCGTGTGTCGTACACGAGCATGCAAGGAACTAGAAAGGGCAGCAGGGTCATGCCAAAGGTAGGACAACCGCGAGCGCCTTGTGGTATCCTTGTCCCGTAAAGGACGTGGTCAGGGGCCACGGTCGGTAACAGAGAACGCCAAAGCAATGTTGCCTGAACTTAAGTGGCAATTTGGTTCATGAGGAACATTATTGAGACAGCGCACAAGAACACAAAGACAAGCGAAGGAGTATACGGGACAAGCGCCGACGAGCTCCTTTTGCTTGCCTCCGGGCTTGTTGCGTGACGTTTCATCGGCATTAGCAATGCGGCACGTCACTCGGTCGGTGCGCAGTAACGGAAGCATGACACCGCGTAGACATTCCACAGGTAAGTCCAGGAATAGATTGCGGAGTGGTGGGTGCGGCAGGTCCGCGGCCGCAGCCGGGCATTCTCGGAGCTCCTGCCCGTTCGGTTGTTTCCCCCCCGTGTTGCATGATTTCCGGCGCACGACATGCCGCCGAGATAAAACCTGACCCGCGGAAAATGTGGGCGGCACGCGAGGGGAAGCGCGAGCTTGGAAAGAAAGTTTTCACAAAGGCCGTCTTTTCTCGTCCCTTTCCGAGAAGGAGTCGCTGCTTAATCTGGACGATAAGCTCTCGTTCAGTGACGGTCTGCTTATCTCGCCGGACTTTATCGCGTGTTGTGTTGTTCTGGACGGGCAGCCTCTTGCCCTACTCTCCTGGCCGCTTGGCGACTCACTGCACAAGAGGTTTTCCCAACCATCTTTTGGCTTTTTGCGCGTCTGTTGCCCTTTTCTGGTTGTATTCAGTCTCCGAATCAACGGGAAAATGAAAACTTTGAAGTGTTCGACAGCTTTGGCAGACACCAGACATTCTGTGATATGAATAAGGACCCTGGTTTTAATTACAGTCGCTGATGGCTTATGAGACGCTGGGCGGGGCGAGTCCACCGCATCGTATTACCTCTCCGCAGCCAATGAAATTGCTGCATTCGCCAGTAAGAATGACGAAAAACTGATCACGAAGAAGTGTGGACTTATTAAGGCATGCCCTGCGTTTCTTATGCTAAACCGAAATTTGGATTTCACAAAAAAAGGCCGCAGAAGCGTTGAACGGGACACTACAAACTGTAAAACATCACTCTTATGTCGATATCTCAAACAAATCACCATATTTTTGGAAAAGAAGGGCACGATCAAGCAATGAATGGGACGTCACGATTATCCTGGAGCAATACGAACCAAAGAAATCTCTCACCAAAAGCTCAGAAACAATCAGTTCCCAATGTTTCAGGGTCGACTTGACCCCGAAACGTTGGGAATTGATTGTTTCTGAGCTTTTGGTTTGAGAATTCTTTGTTTCTTTGTATTGTTTTCCCATATCAGACAGATTTCTGCCAAAGATGTTTACTTTCTCCTGGAACAATAGAGAGCAAGGAGAAGTGGCCTCGCTTCTTTTCTCCTCGCTTCGGTTCACCTGTTCGAGGGGACAAAACAAAGAGAAGATAGAAAAAGAATTGTGACGCAAGATGTCTCGTCGGCCTTGTTCAATCGTCCACTTCTTTTCCAAAAAATACGGCCATCCGTTAGAGATATCACTGTATGAGTGGTGTTTAGAGGTTTTCCAGCATCCCACCAATCGCAGCTTTGTTTTGTGAGCTCTGAATTTCGGTTCAGCATCCCTGTAAAGGGCACCTCGGGTCAATTTGGAAAATTTTGAGATATTGGATAATCTCATATTGAAAAGCACTCATGAACGACCCTTCGTCATTTGTCTCATGATGAAAATTAAAATATTTTTCGTGCAGTTGTGATACAACCATAATTTCAAAAGCGAAACCAAAACCGAAAATTTGGCAAAGGCGGGCAACATTGTACCCTTTTTTGCCCCTTTTTCTTTCTACTTCACATTTTTCCATTTTTCAAACCACAGTCTCAGGTTTTCAATCATCATGTATAACTTGCACCAGCTCGT